ACACACACACACACACACACACACACACACACACACACACACACACACACACACACACACACACACACACACACACACACACACACACACACGCACACACACACACACACACACCTTCACCACGCCGTTGTGGTTGTGTGTTGCTGCTGTCATAAGCGGCGTGCGCTGTGTGCGAGACGGGATACGAGCACCTTCCGAGAAGGCATCATGGAGTACCCGTACGACATCCTCACAGCCTGTCTTGCATGCAATGTGCATTGGCGTCCATCCTGCATGCACGCGAGGTCAGGAGAAGATGTGCTGAGTTGGAACACACACACACACACACACACACAAACACAGATACACACACGCACACACACACACATACACACACTGACACTGACCATCCTTGTTGAGCCGAGTGGCATCCGCACCAGCCGCCAGCAGCTGCTGCACTGCGTTGGCGTTTGGCTTTGTTGCCGCGAGGTGAAGCGCAGTCCAGTCCGCTGATTACACGACGCAAGGGAGTACAGGCGCAGGCAAACAAACACGCGCATAGCCACAGGTCGAGCATCTGATGAGCACCGCAGCTAACAAGTATCAATGTGAGCATGAGTGCAAGTAGCACCTGCCTCTTCAATCCTCAACATGCGGCCTCACCGTGCTTGGCGATGTGCACGTCTGCACCAGCGGCGAGCAGCAGCTGCACGCACGTGGAATCACTGCACAATGCTGCCTCGTGCAGTGGAGTGTGTCCAACCGTGTTGCGGGCGTTCACCTCATCCTTGCTTGGTCCCTGAGCCAGTAGCAGCTCCAGCACACGTGCATGGCCATGGCGGGCTGCCAGATGCAGCATGGTGTCCCCACTGCCGTTCACCGCTGCGCACGCCAGTGGCAATAACACACACACACACACACACACACACACACACACACACACACACACACATGTGGTGCACGTGGTTAGCGTGCGTGCGTGTTGGACCAAGTGTCACTACGTCCCCCTCCCCTCCCCCTTCCTTTCCCAGCCCCTGCACGCACCTCCAACGTCGAGGCTGCCGTGTTGCTTCACCCGTTGCTCAATCCAGCGCGCAACACCATCCACGTTGCCTTTGCTTGCAAGCTTCCCGCCAGCCTTCAGGCTCGCCATCGCCGTTGGTTGGTTGGTTGGTGGGTTGGTTGGTTGTGCGTTTAATGCAGCAGGGGGTGTTGTAACGGATGACGAAGGTGCAAGGTTTGTGTGCACGCAAGCACATTCAAAAGACAAGTGAAGGTCGTCATGGAACACGAAGGCGTACAGCACACGAAGACAGACACAGGGAGATACGCAGGCACAACTAACTATGCGCCAAGGTTGAAACGGCAGACGTTGGTGCAGTCTGGAAGCGAGCGGTTGAGACCGAGCGACACAAACTCCGACTGCGACATCGCGTGTCGTCCGCCCATCAGGTGCTCCACCAGCCGCGCAGGCGTCACCGTCTGCTTGGCAGCCATCGACCGGCTCATGTGCACGCGCTGGGTTGCGCCCGGCGGGTTAGGGAGGCGCAGCGTGATGCGTGGATCAGCAGCACAGCACTCGTCCACGAATGTCTGCAGCTGGTCGGCGGTCATGGTCTTGCCGTTGCTGGAGAAGTAGCGGAAGATAAAGCCAAGCCGCACGCGCAGCCACCCGCCAGAGTGGGGCGTGTTGCGCGCGCACGCACCAATGCCAATAAGAAAGTCTCCATCCGACAGCCACGTGCCTGATATCATTGGAGGGGGGGGGCGTCGTCAAGGGGAAGGGTGGCGCGCGTACGAAGGGTCAATGTCATCCAGGGATACACGCAGGCAGACAGACTGACAGACAAACAGACAGGCAGATAGACAGGCACACACACACACACACACACACACACACAGAGGCAGGCACACACACACACACACACAGAGGCAGGCACACACACACACACACAGAGGCAGGCACACACACACACACACACACACACACAAACACACACACACACACACACACAAAGACACACACACAAGTAGCCGCAACAACCCACCGTGCTGCCTGCGATCAAACGCGCGGAAGAGCGGAACAGCAAACTTGAGGGACACGCCTTGCGTGGAGAGAAATGCGGCAAAGTGGTGGAAGGTCATGTGGGGAGATGATGTGATGGCCCGGAACGCGCTAAGCATGCGTTCTCGCTTCGCCTCCGACCAGCCAAGCACATCCTGTGGTGGCCGGTGATGCAGGTGTGATGCAATGTGAGCAAGCGTGAGGATGGATTGGGATGGTGGATTTGAAAGAGAGGAGTAAAAGGTCGCAGCACACACTTGCAAACACGCAAATAACAACACACACACACACGCACGCACACACACACACACACACACACACACACACACACAGGCACACACGCATACAGACACACGCACCAGCAGCTGTTGGTCAGCCGACACGATTTCGCGGCGTGTGTGCATATCGCGATGTGACATGAGTGTCTTGCCAAGGGTGCGATTCAACTTGTAGTCTGCAACAATCCATGAGCAGGTGCAGGGGAGGGGGAAGGTCAGCGTGCTGCTTCTTGATTGCACATATGTTTCGACCACGAGAGAGGAACCGAACAAACAAACCGACGGACGGACGGACAAACTGGTGGACAAACTGGTGGACGGACGGACGGGCGGACAGACAGACAGACAGACAGACAGACAGACACACATGCAAGCACACACACACAGACATGCAAGCACACACACACAGACATGCAAGCACACACACACACAGACATGCAAGCACACACAGACACACAGACACAGACACAGACACACACCCTCTATCTCTCTCATACGCACAACAATTCATACCCAGTTGGTCGACGTCGTCGTCTTCCTCTGCGTATTCGTCGTCCTCGTCATCTTGGTCATCGCGATGCCGCTGCTGCTGGTGATGTCCACCACCGCCAGTGCCACCACGGCCACGGCGGCCGCGGATGACCTCGTCATCTCGCTCATTGTCGTCAGCGCCATCGTGGCTGTTCCACCCCCTTCCTCTTGCGCCCTGTGTGTGCGCATGGTGTGCTCCGCCTCTTCCTCCGCGGCCTCCTCGCTTCTTGTACGATGTGGTTTCCTCTGCGGACGGGTTGAACGATCGCCGCTTAAGCCCCTGCGCCTCGCCCATGAGCCGTGCGGCTTCGAGGAAGTGTTTCTCTGCCGATGCAAAGTCTCGCTTCTTCTCCGCCGCCTCCCCAGCGCGCTCCAGCAGCTGTGCTTGCGCCTCCAGATTCGCAATCTCCTGTTGCACAGCCTCTTCTCCATATGGATTCCTGCCTTCTGCCGAGTCAGGCTGCGACACCTTTCGCCGATAGTCTTGCTTCCTGCATGAGAGAGAGTATGTGAGTGTATGTGCGTGTGTGCGTGTGTGTGTGCGTGTGTGTGTGTGTGCTGTACCGGAATGTGTTGCTTGTTGGCAAGCAGGATCGTCCTCGTTCCTCATTCTCGTTCTTGTTGTGGCACGACAACTCTCAGCGTAGATGAACCACCGCAAAGCGAGAGCAGTACAAGCACACACACATACACACAAACACACACACAAACACACACACACACCTGGGAGACTGTGCTCTGCGCTCCATTGTGGAAGGTCTGCCGGAGACTTGCAGCTTTGCTGTGTCCTGTGCGCGATCACGGGGTGTCTCCACCCATGGCGGCCTCGCTGCTCTCGTGTGCCACATCGTCCCTGTGCTGTGCTTGCTTGCTGTCTTTCCTCTGTTCGCCTGCTTCGCTTGGTCAGCTTCTTCTTCTTGGCAACCCAGCAAACAAACTGAATGCAGTTGAGAGAACTGAATTCAGGCTTCACTTTTGCGCAAGACTGAATTCAGGCGCACCGAAGATGATGAGTGTGGTGGACAAGCCACTGTTGGCGCTGGTGCTGTTTGGTGTGCTGTGGGTGAGCACGTTCTACGAGCCTGCAGATGTCAAGGACGCCGGCACCGTGGCACATCGCCTGGTGGCGCTCACAGATGCCGTGGCCATGCGCCTGCACGTTGCCGGGCGCAACCGCCGGCTCGCAGGCCTGCCGCTCAGGGGCGCCAACCACAGCATCCACATCTGGACCGCTCCACTGCACGAAGCTGACACTGGTGCTGAGGGTGGTGGCGATGGTGATGCTGGTGGTAAAGTTGATGCTGCTGGTGGTGGTAATGGTGCTGGTGGTGGTAATGGTGCTGGTGAGGGAAAGGAGGCTGATCGCAGCTGTGAAACGGACGACGGGTGTGGAAGTGAGAGCAGCAAGAGGTACACCTCGTCGACCCAACGCTGGGATCATCGGCATTACTTCAGGAGCAAGCTCACCGGTGCCACTGCCGTCGAACAGGACGTTACTGACATTGACAGCTCGCTGTTGTCAGAGTGCCGAGACATGGTGGATGCTGACCGCAGCTTGAGAAGCCAGGCAGTGCAAGGAAGCTTTCTCGACTTCAGCAACAGGGGCGTTGAGGGAAATCTCCGTGGCTGGCCCGCAATGGCTCTCGACCACTATCTCTGGACCGGCGGGCTCTCCCACCACACCGCTCCAGTCGACGTGGTGCGTTGCGTTTCTGCTCTGTGTGCGTGTGTGTGCATGTGTGCGTGCATGCGTGTGTGCGTGTGTGTGTGCATGTGTGCGTGCATGTGTGTGCATATTTGTGCTTGTGCGCACGTCATACATGTCATGCTCGTGCGCCATTGCTCATGTTTGAAACGTCAGACATTGTGCGCCCATTGTGGCTCCCACATGTGCATCCCGACCGCGTTCACTCATGTGCTCTTGCTAACAGCTGCGTAACAGGACCCAGGGACCGAGAGTGCTGAAACAGTTTGGCAATGCAAACACACCGCAGCACGCGTGTGTGCAGTACTTGCAGAAGCTTGCAGCTTCAGTGGCACAGGGCCCAGCCATCGTTCCCGAAAACATTGCTCTTCGTATCCTCGGTGACAACACAGAGGTGGGATCGCGCGAAGAGCGTTTGCAGCATTGAGTGTGTGCACGACAGCCGTACCACTGTCCTTCATCAACCCCTTGAACGCAAACACTCACACGCGGCCATCCATCACACATCTCTCCCCCACCAATCGTCACCAGGTTCCATTCCACACGACGACACCGCACATGCGCACGCGTGATGGCGATGCACCAGAGGTGAGAACAGTTGCCGGTGATCGTGCACACCATGACTGCTTCTTTTTTTTTTCTTGCTGTAGGTGTTCGCTCTCAACACGCACACATGCACAGATACGTGCAAACACACACACACACACACACACACACACACACACACACACACACACACACACACACACACACACACACACACACGCACACACACACACACACAGAGCCGATGTGTGGCTTCTCGTTGACGCTCTCTGGTTCTGTTTCATTTGTGCAGCACATTGTGGTGGCAAGCCACCATCTGGGACTGCACACGCTTGTGCGCCAGCCAACGATTTCTGCCAAAGTGTTTCTTCCCCTCAGCACCACTGCTGTTGACACGAAACACACGCACGAGTTTGTGGTCTGCAATCTCGGACCACGTGAGCAGGTGGGAACTTCACCTCCTGCTGCTGGTGGTGCTGGTGGTGCTGCTGCTGCTTTGTTGGTACAGCTGCTTATACTGCTTGTACGTCCTGTTTGCATATTACGTGTGCAGTGATGTATGTTCACTGCACTGCTATCACTCACTCACCACCACCACCTGTCACCACCACCACCATCATCATCATCAGTGCGTGTCTGTGCCGGCCATCGGGGGGACCGTAGTCGTTCTGGACACAGATTCCGCCATGCACGCCGTCAAGGTGCACTGCAGTGTGGAGGGGTGTGTGATCGTGTGAGTGTATTATGGTATGAGAGAGTGTGTGTGTATTTATGCGAGGCAATGTAATGTCAAGCTCATTGTTGTGTTGCTGTTTCGTGGTTGTCATCAGGCTGTCCACGCAAGGGACGTCAGCGCAGAACAGCAACATGAAGGTGAGCGCAGCCGTGCATTCCCAACACATCACAGCACACACACACACACACACACACACACACAGACAATTGTTCAATGCACAAATACGCACGGACAAATGCACGCGTATGTCTTCGTGTGCTCAGGCGTATGCTGCTTCTTACTCAGGGTCCGTGATGGAATTGACGGTTCGCTTCAGGGTTCAGCAGTGGCCAGACCAAAAGCGTGAGTGGCCACTCAGCGTGCGTACACACACACACACACACACACACACACACACACACACACACACACACACACACACACACACACACACACACATTCGCACATGTACTTCGTCATTTCTCCGCGCGTGGAAGTGCGGATGCTGCTCACGTCACATGCTCACCTCACACCCCGTGCACCCATCACCTCACATGTACATCATTATCACAATTGCCACCGCCATCATCAGGTGTACTGCCTCCCACGCGTGCTGAGTTGCTCGAATCCGTCAAGGCGGACATCAGCCGTCGATACACGTGAGGCGAATGCCAACTACGACTGCTTTGTCCTCCCTTGCGCGCCGTAGTTGTGAGTGTGTGTGTGTGTGTGTGTGTGTGTGTGTGTGTGTGTGTGTGTGTCGGAAGGTTGCTGCGTTCATGCGCGTGGCCACTCTTGTCCTCAACCCTACGATGTTTGCTTGCACTTCTTGCCAACAGGTTCAACTTCCGCGCGTACCTGTTCACTGCACCTGATCTGTGGGAGCAGCAAGTTGCATACGTGCTGCGAGGTGAGATGAGCATGAGGAAAGCACGGTGGAGGGAACGCGTTTGCTTGCGCGCGTGTGTAACTCTAATGTGCACCATTTGCAATGCCTGTTCACATCTGCTCACAATGACAACTGTCCCACAAACACACACACACACACACACACACACACACACACACACACACACACACACACACACACACACACACACACACACACGCCCCTAGATGCGATGGTGTTCCCCAGCATCGTATCGCCGATTCAGTTCAACGTGTGCATGCTTGCCAGCACCATCAGTGCCCCAGCCATCATCACGGAGGCGCTGGGTTGTGTGGCGTGAGTCACACCAAGGGCGAGGGTTCGTGTGTGTGTGTGTGTGTGTGTGTGTGTGTGTGTGTGTGTGTGTGTGTGTGTGTGTGTGTGTGTGTGTGTGTGTGTGTGTGTGTGTGTGTGTGTGTGTGTGGCTCTGCTGGCACGTCGCTGTTTGGTGTGCTCATGCATGAAAGAAAGCAAGGGGACGGGTGGTTTTATTGTTGTAACTTAAACGAGTGCAGTCATGTCACGTCACAACTAAGCAATCAACAAATGACAAGAGGGTGGGGTTCAGTACATTCACACATGCGTGCATGCATGTACGGACTCGAGTGAAGTGAACCGCGCGAGAGGAACAAAATACTTCACAAACAGAAGAAAGCACAAGCGCAGCACGAGTGTCACTCACACCACATCACGTACATTGCGTTTACAGTGAAAAACACCTGCAACAAACAATAGGTCATGAGAGGGGGGACATGAATCAACTGTGCGATAAGGAAAGCGGGGCAAGCGAAAACATGTAGCAAAACATGACGGGGTGTTTAGGGGGAATGGCAGAGCCAGCTGGGAACAGAATGAAAAGGATTCAGAAGAAGACTGCGAATTGCGCAACTTTGACGAGTGAAAGAGTGAAATGACGCAATGGATCATGGGCACTCCGTGACAAAAAGGCAAAAAACTAAAAGCGTGGGGGGGGGGGGGGGAGGCATCTGAATTTGTCAAATAAAGGATGCGAGTCAGATCAACAACAGTGAACGCTGTTCGTTTCGTTGTTAGCGCGAGCGGTAAGGATACACACACAAACACACACGGGCATACACACACACGGGCATACACACACGCACACACGAGTACATACACACACATGCACGAGCAGCTTGTGTGTGTGTGTGTTATGTGTGTGTTATGTGTGTGTGTGTGTGTTAAAGGAGGGTGAGGTTGAGGATGATGGCGGCGGTGGAGAGAACGGTGAAGAACGCAATCATGATATTGGTGATGAGAAGTCGGTTGAGCCAGATCAGCCGCCCACCCAGGAACACGTAGCTGTGGCACGCGTATGAGGGGAGGAAGAGGAGGAGGGGAGATGTCAGCTGGTGGTGTTTGCAGTCACAACGGATGGAAGATGTACATAAATGCGAGGAAGACAGCAACGACACATTTGCAACAACCAAACACACACACACACACACACAAACAAACAAACAAACAAACAAACAAACAAACAAACAAACAAACGGACACCTGACGCAGCAACTCACGGTGGAATGGCGTCAACGGGCATTTCGTCCAAGTGCTCTTCAACGTCGTGGATCAGGTCATCTTCATCCTCGTATGTCGTGCTGAGTGTGCGGATCAGCGCTGACCGCTCGTTGATGCTTGCCTGCGACACGCGTCGGCGTGCGCGTGACATGGATTTCCGTCGCTGCAGCGGGACGAAGTGTCCTGTTCGCGATCGTGGCTCCCCTTTGATCGCCTGGCCAGTGGTGGTTGGTGGTTGGTGGTTGTGTGTGTGTGTGTGTGTGTGTGTGTATGTGTGTGTGTGTGTGTGTGTGTGTGTGATCAGCACAGCTGCGACAGTGTCATCAAAACCACGACCAACAACATCCTCTCGCACGCGCAGCGCCTCAGCAGGACTGCACCTCTTGATCAAAGTGGTCTGGATATCTCAGCAGGGCCGACCTGCAGACACAGAGAGAAGAAGAAACAAGATGGCAGTGGGCGGGAATGAGAAGAGTGCCAGCACTGAACGATCACCAGCACCACCACCAGCACCACCACCACCAATCATCATCATCATCACTGACCGGTAGAGCAGGGCCGGCACGACAAAGTTGATGTAGCCTTGAACGGCGATGGCAATCCAGTTGCAGAAGGTGGTGAGCAGCGGGCGCTCGTAGCAGAACATGGTGACAATCCACGGGAACACGACGCCCCAGAAGAACGACCAGAAGCGGTTGCACACGCGCCCGTTGAGGAGGTTGTAGCGAATCATGATGGCAAGCACGGGGATGCCCGGGATCAGCGTCGTCACGTCCCACAGATACGCAGAGTACTGCGTCACCTGCGGCCGCGGAGTGGAGGGAGGGTGTGTGAGTGAGTATGTGTGCGTGTGAGTGAGTGTGTGTGTGCATGTGAGTGAGTGAGTGAGTGAGTGAGTGAGTGAGTGAGTGAGTGAGTGAGTGTGTGAGTGAGTGAGTGAGTGAGTGAGTGAGTGAGTGAGTGAGTGAGTGAGTGAGTGAGTGAGTGAGTGAGTGTGTGTGTGTGAGCATGTGTGTGTGTGTGTATGATTGCGTTTGCGCAGCGTGTCCGTCAACAACAGCACCGCCATAACCAGTATCATCACCACACCCCATCTCCCTCCCCGTACCTGCGGCTGGTTCTGAAGGACGAGGATGTTGAGAATGTCGTCTGCTCCCTCGCGCGGTTTGTTGTTGTATACGAGCCAGTACGCCCACCCGCCAAGCAGCCCGACCACCACCTGCACACGCGACGGGGGATGGTGATGTATTGGAGAAAGTGAGAGCTTGTGTGAGAGTGTGTGAAATTGCGTGGGGGATCTCAGACGTCGTGGAAGACACACAGGCAGACACACAGACAGACACGCAGGCAGACAGACACACAGACACACAGACGCACAGACACACACGCACACACACGCACACAGACAGACAGACACACAGCGTGCTGACCTTCATGAAGAGGCCCACAATGGCGGGGACCCAGACGGCCTTGTTGACACTCACGCGGTGCTTCTTCTCGTTCACCCACGAGGGGATGGTCACCACGTACGAGTACGCAAACACGGCCATCCCAATCACGTTTGCCTGCCGCACGGTTCGTCGTCGCATTCATCATGTGCGGTGGTGCGATGGTTTGCAGTTGAGCATTGGGATCGTGACGGAAGGGGCGGGGCGGTTGAGGTGGTGTGGAGTGTTGCGAGCAGAAAGCAGAACAACGAGTTGTCACGCATGATGCGAGACAACAATCAAGCAACAACTACACCTGGCCGCTGGCTGATGCGTGGAATGGCGGTGTTCGATGCACTCCGTTGTCAGTGAAGTTGCCAACAGCGTTGTCAGGGCTGTGCGCGCGTGTTTACGTGCGAATGTGCGCGTGTGTGCGCGCGTGAGTGAGTGAGTGAGTGTGTGTGTGTGTGTGTGTGGATGCGTGCGCGCGTGAGTGTGTGTGTGTATGTTAGTGCATCTTGATACGACAAGAAACCAAAACATCTGGACAAGCAAATCGACGGAGCAAGCTTAACATTGGCGCAAACTCACTGGTAATTGCATGTTTCGTTGTACACGACATCATGAAGACACATCTTGTCGGATCTGCGGTATGGGAGGGACGCGCGCGTTGCGATGGCGGTGGCAATGTGGGTTGAGGTGAAGGAACAGGTGTATGGATAAGGAGATACACTCGCGCACACATATGCACACACAGACACAAACACACAGACACACAGACACACACAGGCACAGTCACATAGACACAGACACCAGACACAAACACACAGACACACAGACACACACAGCCACACACACACACAGACACACACAGACACACAGACACACACAGACACACACACACACACACACACACACGCGCGCGCGCGCGCGCGTGCATGCGCAGCGCGTACCCGGACATGTTTATGACAAATTGCACGAGAAACTCGACGGTGAAGACAACGAGGCCGACGAGCGAGAGCCACTGGAACCACATGTTCTCGTCCTGACAGCGCGGATTGAGACGTGAGGACATGCCACAGGCAAAGTGGTGTTATCAGGGTGCAGTTGTTAATGCACCAGCAGCAGCAGTAGCAAGTCGAACAACGAGAACAACAACACCAACAACAACAACGAGAACAACAACGAGAACAACAACAACGAGAACAACAACAACAACAACAACAACAACAACAACAACAACAACAACAACAACAACAACAACAACAACAACAACAACAACAACAACAACAACAACAACAACAACAACAACAACAACAACAACAACAACAACAACAACAACATGCAAACTCATTCAACCCCCCCCCACCCTCCAACGGACCAGGTTGAGGTAGCCAAAGGGGATACAGATGGCCATGCACACGATGAAACCGATCGATATGACCGAGTAGTACTCGTCGGCACACCCGTCTTGTGTCACGTCCCCGCGGCACCAGGGGTGCTCAGCGTCGTTACTGTACTCGATGAAGCTGCAGCCACGTGTTGGTGCATGCAGGCAAGCATGACAGCAGTGAGGGGTACATGGGGATACGGCAGGAGCAGTTTCTGGTGGTGTGTGCTTGATGGTGCCTTGATGGACAGCATTCGATGTAGCAGTAGTGATGGGTGGTGTGAGAGTACGAGCGCATGGCGAAACGCGATGTGACGACGACGACTTGTTGTTTAAAGAAATGCTGATGAGCGTGATACCTGAATGGCCAATCCTGATACTGCAGGGCATACGTGTGTCCGGCAATCTTGAAGATGAACTTGTCAAACACCTGGCAATGTATGAACAAGCAACAGGAGGGCGTGATGAGCAGAAAACAAAGTACAGGTGAAACACATGCCCAGTTCAACACGTTGCAGATCAGCACACACACACACACACACACACACACACACACCTCAGCGGAGATGATCATGGCTGCAATGTTGAAGGCCTGGAGGGAGATGTTGTAGAGAACCTGTGACGGCGGCATTGACACGTGATTGACACGTGGCAGTGAGTGACACGTGACAGTGAGAAGCACGTGGCAGCGTTGCACACGCGCACGCGGAGAGCAATGGGTTGTGGATTCGCGACCACACGCTCACACATGCACACATGCACGTGTGCGAGCAGTCGCTCGTGTGTACCTGAAACACGATGTACCATCTCTTGCCGTAGTAGTGCTTGACCACGGTGGCAAACTCAAACCTGGAAGCACAAACCAGTTGAAACGCACGTTCAGTCACGATTTAACAGCGTTGCCTGCACGCACGTACAGTGAAACACGTGTCGCACCCAAATACACGCAAACACACACACACACACACACACACACACACACACACACACACATACACACACGCACGCGCACACCTGTGTTCAAAGGTAAAGTTGCCAGGGATGCGCTGCATGGCTTCGCATAACATGGTGGCAGCCAGGGACGAGAGCACAAACATGATGGCGAGGGCGATGGTGGGCATCACCCACCCGGCCTGCTGGTTCAACAGTGGCAGCAGCACCTGCGGAACAACAGCAACACGAACCAAGACAGCGATGTAGGACCAATGCATGTCAACGAGTGCGCGCGCACACACACACACACACACACACATTTGTGTGAGCTGCGTCGTCATTGCACTTGTGTTGTCACACTGCAAACTGCACTTCCCCCTGCCCGCTGCTCACTGCCCGCTGCTCACGGCTCACTGCTGACTGCTTCCATCCAAGCAACGCCTCACCATCGCGGGCCCCATGCAGTTGTTCAGGTTGAGGCAAAATGATCCCCAGAAGCCAATGGTCTTGCCGCCAAACCCCTGCGTACACGAACCACCACCACCACCGAATAACACCACCCCAAAATGGAGAGACCGCAAGCAGCGCAATTCCGATTTGAGTGAGGCACGGCATTGTTACATTGAGTGGTTACACCCAGCGCCCACCATGAGAGCGGCGAAGAACACCTCCTTCACACATGACGCACCTTGATCTCCTCGCCGCGAGGATCGACGTCCTGATCGATGCTTTCGAGCCTGGCATCGGATGGAATCAAGCGGAACGCACATGCGCACCAGCTCATCAATGCACGCTACAGTTGTGATAGGCGTCTCCACACGGCATCGCCCAAGTACGTACACAAAGCAGGCAGTGCACGCAAATCAAACGAGCATGGCACACGAAACGCGTCAAAAACACACACCCCACGCCAGTGACACCACCAACAGCAGTAGCTGCAAATCAAGCTCAGGCGCGCATGCGCTGGCTGTTTTGCACAATTCTTCACGCACTGTTCATCGAGGCGTTCCTGGGCCTCCTTGATCGCAGCATTGTGCTCCACATGGGCCACATGCCGCGCCGCTTCCTCGCCCCGCATCGTCCAGCTCACAACTCACAGCTCACCGCTCAGCTCGCTTGACGGGAACTCAATGTCAACTCAGCCTTGGCTGCACTACTATGATGATGTCTCGCCAGCTCCAAGCAGCAGCCCAAATGTCAACAACACCAACGCCACTCGAGTAAGCAGCGTTGTGTGTGTGCAGGACAAATTTGACTTGATGAAATGAATTGAAAGTCAATTTTGCCTTTCTCCAGCTGCTGGAGCTTTGTTTGTGCTGCTGACGCCGATGATGAGCAGGCGGCGGCAATCTGGAACGTGCTGCTCACACTGGCGTAGCAGGGGCGTTGTTGCTGTGGCTGCGGTGCTGGCCATCCTCCTCAGCGGTGAGCTCCTGGCGCCTGGCATGCAAAGAGGGCAAAGCTGCATGCGTGAGAGAGCCCAGCAGCCAAAATTTGCAGCTAACTCAACCGCACATGTTCTCATGCAAACACTGACGCACACAAAATCACACACGCACACACACACACACACACATACACACACACACACACACACACACACACACACATACACACACACATACACACACACACACATACACACACACACCAACAGAGGCGCCGTTGTCGAGCGCGAACCGCATCGCGTTGCTGTGTCAGGGCCCAGACAACTGCTCGCCCGTCCTTGACGGTACATGCGTGGACTTGACCTCGTTCAGCAACCCCCAGTCTTCCATCAGCGTCGTGTTTCCAGAGGAGACGACGCTGCAAATCAGCCTGTTCAACACCAGCAGCAGCTGTGCCGGAAACGCATCGGCCACCGTTCAAACACAGTCGCAGCTAACCTTGCCGCTGACCTCGGTGCGTGCGTGCCTGCCTGCGGCGTTCCCACCAGAACAACTCACATGTCAACTGCTCATGCTCACGCCCATCAGCACTTGCCACAATAATTTCGAACCGTACATTGTGCGCGTGGTTGCTTGTGACGTAATGTGATATGTGATGTGTGATACGTGATATGTGATGTGTGATGTGTGATGTGTGGCGTCTGTCATGTGTCAACGATGATGTCATGACCATGTCCTGTGTCATCACTGCAGCTCTGACACACGCACACGCACACACGCACACAAACACGCACACAAACACACACAAACACAAACACACGCACACAAACACACACACACACACATACACTTGCTCTTATGTCGTAACACGGCACCGCGCCATGGTGTTCATGCTGGTCACTGCATGCAGGGTTCGCTCGATGCCAGCATCCTGGGTGACCTCTCGGTGTTCTGCGCGCCGTCTAGCAGCATACCTTCGCGCCGCATTGGTGTCGACGACACAGAGCTGACGGTGCAGGATGCCTTGTTGATACTGCTGGCCCCGCTGCTGGCGCAAGGCCGCTTCATTCCTCCAACTGCTGTCACCGGTGTCCAGGGGTCACTGTTTGTGACCGAACCAAGCCAGCTTGGCACCACCGCAGAGACGCGTGTCAGCGCCATCACCCCGGGTAGTTTGATGCCAGGCTCGCCCTTCACTGTGCAGGACGTGGTGGAGGGGGCAATCACCATCAAGCGCCTGACACAGGTTGACACGGGTTCCAGTACCGTTGTTTACAACCTCGTGACCAATGCCGCGAGCACAATCTACCTGGCCGTCAATGACACCATCGTATGTTCTGCGCGCGCATGTGTGCATGCGTGCGTGTGTGTGCATGTGTGCGTGTGTGTATGTGTATGTGTGTGTGTGTGTGTGTGTGTGTGCGTGTGTGTATGTGTGTGTGTGTGATGTGTGTGCTTGGCCTTCTTTCAACGGCAACAGGTCATTTCTTCCTTACCACCGCCACACCATCATGGCCACCACCACCGCCGCCGCCCGTGCACATTTCATCTTCCCTTCTCCCCTTCTGCCCCAAATTACCCAGATGCGGGCGCTGTCGAACATTGCGCTGTCGCCCGGCCCGCTTGCCACAGACACATCCCCAATCACCGCTGACTTGGACTGCACGAACACGTTCACCGTGGTCGATGTCACGCCACCAACCATTGTGTGCCCCGCTGCGTACAACGGCAGCGTCATTGGCGCCCCAACAAGTGCTGTTGCCATCCCCTTCCCCAACATCACCGACAACGGGGTGCTGGCGTCTGTTGATGTGCCCGTTACCGCGCAGTTGGCAGTGAACGAAACTGCTCTGGCCACCGTGGCGGCCGTCGACTCAAACGACAACAGCGCCACGTGCACCACGCTCATCCGCGGCGTGGACACGACCCCGCCTGTGCTAAGCAACTGCGTCGACAACATCACGCTGGAGGCAGAGGGCGACCTGACGGCGCTGCTCGTGCTGCCGGACATCACCGCTCTTGATCGCGAGACCCCGGCCCCGCGCAACACGCCCCAGGTGCCAACCCCACACGCATGCACGATGCTGGTTTGTTGGCACTCGCGTTGGTGTTGTACGCCAGGCAGTGTGTCCCCATTCGACGTGTCAACATTGCTCGCAATCACACACGATGATGACGCATTCATTCACACACACACACAAACACAAACACAGACACAAACACAAACACACACACACGCTCAAGCATACGCAAGTTCTGCTCGCACTCACATTTGCTCACTCCATGCACACTCCCACGCACGCGTGCTGGCTTGCCACCCCATCAGGTGACCTACAACATTGCGAACAACACGCGGCTGCCACTCGGCGCCCACGAGGTTGAGGCGCGCGCTGTGGACGTGTCGGGAAATGTCGCCATTTGCCGATTCGATGTGTATGTAACGGACCGCCCGCGCCTCACAGCCATCAGCAGGCTCGACGTCGTGACCTCGGAGGGCGATGATGTGTAAGCTCACCCTCTGTATGTGTGTGTGTGTGTGTGTGTGTGTGTGTGTGTGTGTGTAGTGTAGTGTAGTGTAGTGTAGCATAACTACGTGCGTAGCTCTGTGTAGCGCCCGACATGTGTGCATCCATAGCAGCTCTGTCGCACGCCATCGCACGCAGTGATCCCAAGCAGCGATCATTCTCACACCTCCCACCACCACCACCACCACCACCACCACGACGCTCATCTCACACATTACACCCGGCCCCCGCAATTTATGGCACACCAGTTCGCTGCAGTGCACGTTCACGGGATACCCGCTGCCCCTCATTGTGTGGCGGCTGCAAGGCAGCACCACCCCCGTGCAGGCCGACCAAGGCGCCCTCACCTCCATCCTTCGATTCAGGCGTGTCGACTTTAACGACTTTGGCGTGTACTCGTGCGAGGCATTTTCGCCGCTCGGAAATGCACCTGCTCCCCTCATCACCCTCACCGTCCGTAAGTCAAGCGAGGGAGCAAGGGTGTGTGTGTGTGTGTGTGTGTGTGTGTGTGTGTGTGTGTGTGTGTGTGTGTGTGTGTGTGTGTGTGTGTGCGTGTGTGTGTTTATACTTGTGTGTGTTTATACTTGTGTGTGTTTATACTTGTGTGTGTTTATACTTGTGTGTGCTGCTGATGTTCTCCTCGCAGAGTTCCGTTGATCCCCCAACACACACGTGCACGCCCATTCACACGCATGCAGGCCCTGCTGTGAGCACGTGCCCCAACACGACCGATTTCCTGCGATCAACACACGCGCTGGCCAACGAGCAAAACACGAATGCGCCCCTATTTTGGGAGCAGGAGGACAGCTCGGACATTCGCGCCGTCCGTCGCGATCGAGTCATCCCAGGCCGCGTTTCATCATTCCTGATGACGTCAGATGCTGTCCTTGCAGTCACTGACTCGGAAATCCGCGCATACACGCGCCTGTTGTCCGCCTCCCTTTGGACCATGCAAGCTCAAGGTGAATGGCACCGTGTGTGTGTGTGTGTGTGTGCGGTGATGTGTGTGGTGATGTGTGTGGTGATGTGTTGGCGCCTGTGTCCATCTGTCGACGCGTGTACCTGCTTTGCCAAAGCGGCTTTCGTTTGATACTGCTCATGCATCAAATTGCCTTTGCTCTCATCGTGCTGTGCTGTTCAGATCGCATTTTGACATCCCGCACAAGCGGCCCAGTCATCCTCGGTACGCACGCACGCACCGCGTAGTTTTGCTGTCACGCGTCAAGCTGTGTTGCTGGCGTTTTGGGGTTGATTCATATTCACAAACACATGCACATGCACATACACACATGTACACACATGCACATTTACATACATACACATGCACATGCACATGCACATACACACACACACACATACACACATACACATACACATACACATACACAAGCACTCACATCACAGTATTTTATTCCTGCTCACATGCCGCATTCATCACGCCCCTGCATCTTTGTCTCTCCCCTCCACGTCTCGTTTGTCCCCGTGCTCGTGCTGTGTTGGCCATCAGACGAACTGGTTGTGTTCACGGAGCCCTCCGGTGTGCGCGCATTCAACATGAGCGGCCGCGATATTGCCTGGCAATTGGACTTCAACACCACCCAGGCCTGCACAGGTTCGCTGCATGCCTTAGTTTTCGGTTTCGTTTTGAAAGTTGTTGTTGTTGTTGTTGTTGTTGTTGTTGTTTAAGTTGTTGTTGTTGTTGTTGTTGTTGTTGTTGTTGTTGTTGTTGTTTAAGTTGTTGTTGTTGTTGTTGTTGTTGTTGTTGTTGTTGTTTAGTTGTTGTTTAGTTGTTGTTGTTGTTTAGTTGTTGTTGTTGTTGTTGTTGTTTAGTTGTTGTTGTTGTTGTTGTTGTTGTTGTTGTTGTTGTTGTTGTTGTTGTTGTTGTTGTTGTTGTTGTTGTTGTTGTTGTTGTTGTTCTTCTTCTTCTTCTTCTTCTTCTTCTTCTTCTTCTTC